AAACATGTCTCTGTCTTTCAAGCATTTCTCCTACTGACCATGCTTCAGCTCCTTATGTTTTCTTCCTTGAAGGCAGAAATCCCTTTCTGTTTTCTCCCTCTGTGATAAGTGATGCACAGCTCCGAAGAGAGCTGCCCAGCCCTGAGCACCAGCTCCTCTTGCCAGCTCCTAAGTTTCTGCTTAGCTTGTTTAGTGTGTCTGTTAAATATGTGTGCACAGACAAATAGATCTGGGGAGATTCTGAACTGTTTGTGGGGAATCAAACAGCCACAGCATTATAAAATAAATTAGGTTGGAAGGAACCCCTGGCAGCCTAGTCAAACCCCCCACTCAAAGTCATTCTTTTCAGATCAGGCTAGTTAGGTGTGTCTGATCAAGTTTTGAACACCTCCAATGATTGATTGACCTCTTGCAGCTTCTTTAAGCTCTGTTCCAGTATTTGATCACACTCCTTTTCTTTTTTTTTTTCATGATGTCAAATTGGAATTTAGGATGTTCCAGATATTTGTTGTGTCCTGTCCAATCGCCATTCAGCTCTGTGAAGAGACAGGCTCCATCTTCCTTTTATCCTCTCATCAGATCTTCCTTTTAACCTCTGAGCAGCAAGGTTTCCCCTTTACCTTCCCTCCTCAGGGCTGAAGGGACCCTGCTCCCACAGCCCCTTCTTGCACCCAGCTTGGTGCCACTGTGGCATCTGCTCCAGTAGGTAACACCTGCTCATACAGGACCAAACTGGTGTTTCCTGATGCATTTCCACAGAAAGGAAAGGATCAAGGACATCTTTGCGGTACTGATGGGGTCCTGCCAGGACCTTTGTCCTGGCCCTGTGTCTCAATTTTCTGAGTTTTCTGTGTCAGTGTGTGGTAGCAGAGATGTGGTAACATCAATTTCTGGTGTCCTGGTTCATGTCACCATCTTAGGAGTCCATTGTGTCTCATGGCAGTGTGTGTCAGAGCACTTGAGTGATTTGCACCTCACTTTCCTCTGTGTGATACTGTGCAAACTGAGGAGTGTAACAAAATGAAAATGTAGCAACTTTTTCCTTAAGGTAGGAATATGGCAACTGTGCAAATTTGTCTTTTTCCAGAGATGCAATGAAGCCTTTGGATCAAAAAGTAAAACAGTCCTTAAGAGTCAAGTGTGACTCTGTTACTATTAATACAAACGGTGAAAATTTACATATGTTGCACCATTCTGTTTTCTTTTTTCCTTTTACTGGTTTTTTTTTTCCTTTTTATAAAAGTGGTCTCCCTTTTTGTCTTCTGCATGCTCTGGAATGTGGGAATACTACATCAATGCAACAATGACAAGTATGAGTTTCAGGCAGAAGAAAATTAAAGATATTCATCAAAGTATTTTCATCTCTTTGGAGAAAATTGTTGTTGCTGAGTTACCATGCTACCTGAAACAAGCTCTGGTGGATTTAAGCAAAATATTACAAGTATCACATTCCTCTGTTTTCTGTTTAGCTTGTCTTCTTGGGAAATAACTAGGCTTTTATGTTTTTTTAGATGATGGGTTTTTACCCTTCATTCCACTATTAGCATCACGTTACTGTATAGAAAGAGATCTGTAGAGGAATGGTTTTATTCAAAGTTTGTTTTCTTTCGGATATCTAACAGCAAGTATCAAGTGTCTCAATGCTATGCCTAAACCATCTATCAATACCAAAGCAACAGCTGAGTTTGTTTTGTATTCAGTGATTTGTAAGCAAATAAAAGCTGTTGTGACTGGCCTTGGTGCAATACTCACAGCTGGATAAAGCACAAGGTGCTTTCAGAGACCAGCTGAGAGATGTGGGGGTGTGAGGGGGCAGAAGCAGCTCCACAGACCCTTCCCTGTGCTCACTGTGGAGAATGTAAGGATGCTGTATCAGAGATGCTCAGCTGGATGCCAGTCCAGCTGTCAAAACAGAGATGGAGTCCCCTGGGTTCTGCAACAGTGCTTTTGTTTCCTCTTTCAGCACAATAGTCTTGGCTGTGCCCTTGCTAGCACCACTTCTTTAGCCAAGTACCTCCCAGGCACAAATAAGCTTAATTTCTCTTTTATTTATCACAAAAAAGGACAGGGTCAAGGTCCTGTCACCAGAGTCCATGCTAGGCTTTGCAGTGGTCTAACAACCTAGCCCAAAGACCAACATCTTTCTTAAAAATACTTCTCTGAAAGCACAAACCAAAGAATTTTCTTCTGCACTACATTACTAAGCATGCAAATTCACTAGCAACATTCAGGAATGGGAGCAATAACTAGCCTTTTGTCACCTGGTTTGTGGAAATTGGAGGTGTATGTGAAATCACATGGAATTACGGGAAGACTCAGATAGCAAATATTCTAGACGATGGACTGCAGACATGGAAATGGAAGCTTGGAAGGCCTGAACTCCCCTGACAGTGCCTGCCCTGAGCTGAAAGTACCAACTCACTCAAGCTATCTGCACTAGGCCAGCACAGGTACAGCTTGCCAGGCTGATTCATGGTGTCTGCTGTGCCAAATCCACCTGATCTGTTCCTGAAATTGGTCTGATTCTGGGTCTCAGCTCAATAAGCTGTTCTGTACTCAGCTAATTCTGCAGAGAACCAGAGATGTCTTGTGCATCTATAATACATGGAGGACTGGGAGCTGGCTCTACTTTGGTAAGATTCAAAGAATTGTTATATGGAAACAGTTGAAATAAATGTGTAAATGCTTTGAAGGCTCCTTCTTTCAAGATGCCAGTCATAAAACCAAAAAGTTTTAAGAACTTTGATTAGGTAAATACTAAATTCCCCTGCACTGGACATGCTGTCTTCTTTCAGAAAAGCCACTTGGAATTGGTTTCTGAATTGAGGCCAGTAAACTTGTACACCCTGGGACATCTCCAGCATCTGAACTAGCATTTCAAATTGTATTACTAAGCTCAGATTAACTGGCTGTCTATGAACAGCTGTCAAACCAATTTCACAAATGGTGAGGTGCATAATTCCAACAAGGATGCACAGGCTGTCATGGAAGTGGAATGAAGCCACTGCCAGCCTCTCTGCATAGTTCAGGGGCATCACCAGTTTTCTATGGCCATGGGCTGCTCACAAAGAATAGAGTTTACAGCAGCCAGAGCAGACATTTTAAAGTTACAGTGATGAGTAAAAAGACTGATTTTGATACCTTGTTTGGTTGGAAAGGGGAGGCTTGCATTTTTTAGTACAGCAATAAACAAATGCAGAATGTGGGAGGAGATGACTCAGAAAACACCAGCATAGTCTGATGTTTGTATTACAACATAATAAATGGGCTGTTTTATATGTATGTGAATGCATGTAGACAGAATGCAGATGAACCTAATAAAATTATCCTAATCACTAGGATGACAGCCTCTCTGCAAGAAAGAAAAATTGATCACCTCACGTGGAAAAGGAGATGTATCTTAATTTTGGGGTGTTCTTTCCATGTAGAAAGGATGATATTTAAGATTCTCTTTTTAATAAAGTGCTGGCCTTTCTGTCAAATGGCACTTTGTAGAACTCAAGCAATTAAATAAATGTTTCTTTGTGAGAATGTATTTTTGGATTGGAGGTGTTCTTCTGGAAACTCAGGTATTGATTAGTTTTTTGTTTGTCTGTTTTTTCAAACTAAGAAAGGTGAAAAATAGAAACAGGAAGGATTGGGATTAGAAATTGTGACAGTGGAACATGGGGCTTTTATGCAGCTTCCATTAATACCTTAAAACAGAAACCTGAGTAAAAATGTGTCACGATTTTGGAGCTAAATCAGGTTTTTAAAGAAAGGAAGTATTTTTAAAATTACTTTGGAGACAATAGACAGTAGACCTTATATCTCCACAGGAGAGCTTAACCGTCTAATGCTGCAGATAGCTACTCTATTTTTTCTGAGTTCTCTTTCTTTCACCTTAAGGATTAGAAGTATTGCTCCTGCCCAAACTCAAATGTCTTTTATATGGATTTTAATTGTGTTCCCCTGTTTGAATCCTTTTGGGTTTTTATCCATGTAAAACAATTTAAAAATCGATTAATAATTTTTATGTCGTATTGTTTGAACCTTATTTAAATGCAGTAAAATAGAAGATAGTTCTTATTTCTCTAAAGGGACAGTCTTAATTGAAGAGAGTGGTTGAAATTAGCATTAGCTAAAATTATGACAATGACAGTGATGATTTATGACAGCTGAACATAAAATATTTTTTGTCTTTAACTAACATTTCTTGTAGTAATATGCCCCTGAAGGAGATGCAATCAGACTTCAAGCTGTTTCACTAATTCTTTTGTACAGAGTCTGGGATGCCAAAGGATTTCACCCAGTGCAGGGTGGCTGGAGTGTCTTTCAAGCTGTGATGAATGTGTTGAGTTTTAATACCAATTATAGTACTTCATGGGCTCATTGGTTACATTAATATTGCACTCACTGCTATTACTAAAACTTGTGATGGTAATAAATTGAGAGGGCATGACACCCAAGTAGGCATTGCTTGATTTTATACTAGTTTCTTTTGTTTTATTGTAGTTTTTCTTCAAGAAAGTTTGGGAAAATATATACATTTAATTTCTCATATATTTCAAACATGTACCTGATAAATATTATTTTCTATTTTAGCTTAGCAGTTGTATTCACCCCAAGTTATCTGTGTTAGAGAAAACAAAACTCAGTTATAATTTCAGCTCACAAAAGCTGTATTCAATTCAAAACTGGCCCTGCTTTTACTTAGTGATGCCATAAGGTCACTTCCAGCCTGATTTATTGTATATTTTAGAGATTTCAGTGCAATATCAATATAGATCCCTTAGGTTCATTGATTCACACATGATGAGGATTTGCACTTTGCCAGAGACAGCTTTATCCCTGCTTACCATATCACTACAGACAACATTTTACTCTGAGAACCTATCCTTTGCTTTCAATTACAGAATGCATTGCTGTTGACATAACACTGGTGCTATAAAGTTCATTAGTATCTTTTTCAGATCATTCTTTTTTCTCTATATATGCTATAAACTCATTATTGCCTTTAGAGATCCCTGAAGACCCAGAAATTGCAGAAGAATATTATAAAGATGAGTTTGAATCCTGTTCAGAAGACAGTGAAGAGGAGGCAGATGCAGAATTGTCATGGACAGTCTCTAAGACAAATCACCAGGTAAATGAGACCTTTGAGAACCCTGTATGCACTTGATGCTCATTTTCCATGAGAAAACTGAGTTCCTTCCCAGAATTTGTCCTACTGGCATTGCTGATTTTTTAGTTTTTAGGAGTGTGTGTATATATCAGTACCATGAATTAATTATATGTGTATTGTAAGATATTGATGAGAAAGATTTTTGCATTCCTTCAAGATTAAAGGTAATAATCCCATGAATGCCTTAAGGTAGATCATTGCCAGAAACCATTCTTGTGACTCTAAAACACTCAGAGTGGGATCTTCTCAAATGCCAGCTGTGATTTAAATTAAATTAAAGCTGAAGATATACTTGAAGCATAAGATCCAAGTTCCAGCTCTAATTCCCAGGCAAAGATAGTCACCTCTAGTTCCTGCCTATATTAGACATATTTTCTAGGACAGTGTGATGAATGATGAGCCTAAACAGCTGCAAGACTTGTTCAGCAAATCTGTAGACTTTTCCACCTCACTGAAAGTGTCAGTGAAGAGAAAACTTATTGCTGAAAGGCTTAAAGTAGCTTTATCAGTTAAGGCTGCCACAAGACAGTCAGGGATTGCAGTGTGAAGGTTGAAGATTATTGCAAAAGGCACCTAATTTAGATCTGATCAGAATGAACTGAGATGAATCTTGTCTCCAGTGATCAAGCCTCCGTGAAATCAATAAACTTAAGTGCCTGAGGCAGTTCTGAAAATGGATCTTCCTAAGGCATTCAGGAACTATCAATTTCTCCCATGGGCCTCCAGTTTCAAGCATGGCCTGCAGTGCCTCTGGATGGTACCATCTGGTTCTGCCCAGGAACAGAAACTTTATTCTGTGATCATGTGCAAAGTTTGCAGAACAGGGTGTGATGTCTTCTGCATCTCAGGGAACTGGCCAAGAAGGCTAATACTCTTCACTAAATTATAAATAACTTGTGGTTTTTGAAAAATATGAACTAATAGCTTCTTTGAGATGTAGTTTTTAAGGCAAAAATAAAGTGTGAGAAATCAGAACTCTACTTCTACCACAGCAGCAGGGGATCCTGAAATTGTCCCACAAGTAAAACTTGAAGTTTACTCAGAAACAACTCCATTCAATCTAGACGTGTCCCCCTAACTTTCAAATTAAACACACAGGATGCCTTAACATTCAGGAGCAGATTGTGCAATAGTAAAGAAATTGTTATTCAATTGTAAAACAGTGGATTATCTTAGACAATACTTTTTTAAAGTTTGCTGCATTTATGCTTACCCACAACACATAGACATACAAAGAAACCATTGCCCAGAAGGTCTACCACAAGGTAGTCTTGAAAACAAAATTACTGCTCATTTTCTTCAGACTCTGAGACAATTTTTCTTTTTTAGAATGCCTTTTGAAATTTTCATTCAACTTTCATTGATGGTATCATTAAGTGTCAATCAGCAGTGGTTTTGAACAGGCAGACTGCTGCTTAGAATTAATGAAGGGCAGAAGACAAAAATAGATTTCTCAGTAATGCAGAATAAATTAAGTGTTGGCATTCAGATATGAGCTGTAATAGTCCCTCATGTTGGACTGACTGAAAATCCCATAATAAGAACCAGCATGATGGGCTGGAAGAACCATCCCACTGGCACCCCATTGTCTCTGTCACCTTAAGATATTGAATAAGTATGTTTCTGGCTATTGACGTAATTACCTTTTCTATTTTTTGGGAAGTGAAAATAGGCAATTTTTGCTTTCTCAAGTGAAAAATTCTGCAGTAAATCCAAAGTGAAAGCAGACTGAACATACCTGTGTAAATCTGAACACCTTTGTCTGAACTCAACAAACAGAAAGGCATGAGGGGAAGCAAGCAAGCATTATTAGGGAGTAAACATCTAATTCAGGTTGGATGGAATACTCAGAGATATCTCTCTTTGGTGATTATAAAGGGATTTACAGTTATTAACATGCACACCACATCTTTCTTTGGATATCAATGATTATGTGAGATGAATCCCACTCAAAGGTAGGTGGGATCATGCTCAGTATTAATAATAAGCTTCAAGTCCTACCAGAATAGCAGAGGTTTGCTTCTGCAGTTATTTACTTAATACCAAAACTCCTACTTCTATTTCTCTGATGGTATTCATACTCTTAAACCCTTTCTTCAAAGATACCTTAAACCAAGCTTTGGAGGTGTGTGCTAAAAAGTCATTCCACAGCAACACAGTAAAGGCTACTAAGGTAATTTCTGCAAATCTCTTAAATTTCCAATCCCAAGATTGCTTTACTAGTTACTTCTGTGCAGAGAGGGCAGAAATGCTGCACCTGGTGGTGCTCTCTGGTGACCCCATTATTTCAAACAAGGATTAAAAAAATTTCCAATGTTCATGCAGTAGCATGGGGTCAGAAAAGTCATCTTTATGAACAGCATATTAAGTGCAAGATGTACAAAGGGATATGAGCTATTTATTCAAGCTGTATTAGGCTCCCACAGATGTCAAGACAGACTGAGAAGCAGCAGCCTCATGTGGGATGTAAGACTGCTTAGGAAGGTAGAGTTAGGCACTGAAACACTTTAATTTTAAAGGTTTAGGGTGGGAGCTGAGACAGCTTTTTTTTCTCATGTTGGTACAGCCAATCTGATTTCAGACACATTTTCCAGTACTGGAGTTTAGTGTCCTTTGTTCCTTTCTTTTGGAGCAAAAATGCACATTGACAAATTTCAAGCAGCAATTTGCCAATTACCTTTCCAGATCTCCACCTCTTCAAGCCAGTGGTTCTTTTCCACATGTTTTTTTAATGGGAGAACCAGTTTCTAATTAGGGGAAAATCATAAAAGGTAATGACAAACTGTTTTTAAAAGCATTTTAATTTGTGATGCTTAACAGAGATTTCATCTTGAAAAGTTAGTGTGTAATGAAGCTTCCATTGGCTTTGATTTGGCTGTGATGCTGGTGGATGCTCTTAGCTGCAGTTCATCACCATGCTCTTAGTGGTTTTTCTCATGAACATAATAACAAATTCACCCTCTTCACTATGACAAAGTCTACTTACTGTGATGCAGTAGGTTCCTATTTTCAAATTCCAAGTTGCTTCTGAGATTGTCAAGCCAGACAATCAGCTGACATAAATTATCATCACTCCAGCAGCTCTGAGTGGTCTGTGTGCTGTGACCCCTAAGATGCCTCACTGGATTCCTAACATATGTTTTGGCAGGCTTGTGGCTGTTAGAAATGGGGTTGCTTGTTCTGAATCTGGAATGTGCAAGCATTCACCCACACTGGCCCTTCTGGGCACAGTCCCTTGTCCCTTCTGTAGGGCTTTGCTTTCTCGGAAAAAAAAAAAAAAGAAAAAGACAGAGAGAGAAAGATTAAAGAAATAGATTTAATGAAACAGCTAAATCCTCCTCCAGTGCTAAACCCAAGTGGGGAAAAGATAGGAGTGATGAAGAGGTGAAAATATATCTTTTGCCTTACAGCATAAAGAGAAGAAACCAGCTTTGTTGTTATAATTGGAGTAAATATGATGTCCTGTTGAGAGAAGTCAAAGGTTTGGGAATTACAGGCTTTATCCCATAAAAAAATGATTTAAAAATGTTTTATCAAAGCAATAGTGTTTTATATGGTTATTTACTATGTTTTGCCTATCTGTCTAAAGATTTGTGGTTAACTGTTAGTGATAATGAAAATAAAAATAATTATAAAGTAATATTAGCAGAAAATCAATACAACTTTTTCATTTTGAATGAAAAAGATTTAATGAAATCTTTTTAATGAAGTCCTAATGGTTCTTTTTTTCTTTTTAGAAGTACAGAGAATTTATATCTGCAATACTGTCTTAATTCAATATTCAGTATGTACTGTGTATGCTAACATAATGAATGCATTCCCTGGCATTTCCTGGCTGCAGAACTGGAAACCCTTGTGCTGACTTGATCCAATCATGACCCCACAGGCTGCTCCAAAAGGGAAAAGAGGCTCCTTTGAACCTCTGAGCTTGTGGGTTACCTGTTGTAATGGCCAACTAAGAACCTGATTCCTGCCTTGCAAACCTCAGCTAAAGCAGCAGAGCCTGTTTCAAATATAAGCCCATGAAACAATTTGGGGTGAGGTATAGTTAGTTTATGCTCATCCATAACAGCTCCCACTTGCACCAGAAGGTCCCTAACCAGCTGGAAGTCATTGCCAACAATTATTGCGGTCTTATTTAGGTGTACTGTAAGTTCCTAAGTTGAGAAATTTAGAATGGGCATTTTAGTAAAATCGCAAAAGAATATAAAACAGGTTGTCTCTCATAGAAGTGGAGGTCGATAGTGTTTGTTTTTATTACATTGTTTTCAATCTTAAAGGCATAGAGTGCTGACTATTTTTAAAAAATACATATTTTTGACATATTTTTTAAAAATACGTATTTTTGACATATTTTTTAGCAAGGTCGAGATTTTGGCTGTCAGTTTTAAATATCAAGAAATGCTGTATTTTTAAATGTGATATGGCAGCAGCTTCTACACACTCAGAGTCCAAGTATTTCTTGGACTTTCATAAAATTGTGATGTTCTTCCTGGACAACAATCATTGCTTAATGGCCAGAACTTTAAATTTCATCTGTGTACACAAACAGTATTTCATATGCATATCATGGCAAAACTGTCAGCCATCTGTTTGGTAGCAGAACACTTGAAATATAAAAAATGTTAAAATCTCTTCTTAATTAAAAATTTTTTAATTAGTTGTTGTTACTAGACATGTAAGTGGATGCAATTACATGAAATATAAGTATTAATTTGCTGTGGGCAGCTATCATAAGCATAAAAATTTTGGCATAGTTAAAAAGTATAAACTTGCCTTTTTCAATGTAATATTGTTTTAGATATTCCAGAACTAACTGATGATAAAATGCTGGTATATTTTCAGAGACTGCACACCACCCTCCACAGTAAATATATCTCCTTTAAATTCCATGCACAGTTGTTCTAAACACTTGTGGTCTGCAAGGAATCTGACTTAAATTGTTGTTTGGTTATTGCATCATTCCAAAGCCTGATGTTTTAGGAGAAGAAGATATAGAAAATGTCCTGGGCAATATAACTTCTTTATAGTTTAGTCTTGACACTTACTGATGTGATATCTTCAATGTTTGTGGGATGGTACCTCTGGGACATAGCGTTTGTGTTTAGGTTTGTGGTCACACAAATGCTGTTCCCATTTCTTTTATTCACAGGACAGTGATATGGAGGCAATGGTTGAGTATTTGGAGAGTGTCCTGAATAGCAGCTCATTGGGTAAGATGATGTATCTTCTTTACATAGCAGCAGTTATTAGCAGTCTGTATCCATCACTGTCCAACTATTTCCATTTTGCAACAAAATAACTCAAAAAATGTGATCCTGTTGAAAATTACTTCCTTAATCTACTGCAAAGAAGTGTAACTATACCAAAAGAAAAGACATAAATAGTTAAGTGCTTCTGTTGAAAATAATAAAACCATAAAGCATGATAGTTAGAAGTATAGAATGTTATAAAAAAAACTTCTAAAAACTTGGCTACTGTCATTTTCTCTCCAGAGGAAAATATTTGAGGATGTGTAAGCTATTTTATAGTTATTAATCCTGGTTACAATAAGAGAAAATGAATTAAAATATTTAATGTTTTTAAAATTATGATCAAAATTTGGATAATAATTTATGTAACGGTATCTCATTCCAGATACAAAGAAAACAGTGAGAATTTAAGTCTATAATTTAATCCTGAAATCTCTGGCAAAATATTGTCTATAGATTTACAGCTGGAAAACCTGGGTCATTGTGGTCTACTTAAAAGCTAAAAAGAAAACTTATGAGAAAGAGGGCTATTTACTGTGGCTGTCACAGTTGCTGTCCTCAGAGCCACCAGGTGGGACTGTGCCAGCAGCAGCCTGAGTGAGAGCTGCATGAAAGGCCAGCTGAGCTCCCAAAGGCTCCCATGGGAGCTGCAGCCTCATGCAGCTGCTTTGTTTGCACTCATTCAGTTGGGATAAAACTGACTTGGGATTGTCTAAAAGCACAACACAGGAGACTCCTAGGAAGTCCTGCTTCCAGAGGTTCTTCCAGTGCTGAGCTCTGGTTCACCCCTGCTTGTGAGCCTGGGCAGATGGGAAGAGAGAGCCAAAGAAGAAGGATGAAAGGGAGTGATCAAAGTTGTTGACATCATAGTCTTGTAGCCACTGGTCACCTTCTGGATCCCATGCCAGGAGACCCTCAGCACTGAAGGAAGGACCATTTACATCCAGTTTCTCTTCACAGTCACCGAGAACCCCCTGTCTCCAAATTCTGCACTCATTTATGCATTTGCAGCATCACTGTCTGCAATGGGTTTGCAGAAGTTGAAATAAGAAAAAATTTTGCTCTGTGCTTCAATATCCCTTCATTTAATAAAGAGAGGAATTGCCTTGAAGGTTGGTGAGAACAAACAAGAATATTAAGACAAATAGTGATATTTTAAAAACAATCTTAGTATTAGAAACTCCCTTATCTTAATCTTTTCTCTTCAGTATTAGGGACAAGAATATGACTTTTAAAAAATTGTAATATTAAAGAATAAATTGTACTTTTATCACTAAAAAAAAAATCCAACCAGGCTGTGCTGAAACTTACAGGCTTTTTTCAAACTAGACAGTAATTAGGTATGATTTTCTCCAAAGAAATATATGTAATGATAATAAGAGACAAATCTCCAGGTTCCCTTTTATCTTTGTATGCCCAGTATCACTTAAAAAGTTTAAACTTACATTATTTTAAGTTCTTCCAAAATCAAGCTATAAAACTGCACTTGGGGTAATTTTTATATGTTTGCTGATGTTCATTTATACCTTGCATATTCTTCACTGAGCTCCAAATTCCCATGACATCAAAATTTTTTGTATATAGTGCAATTTACATAGGTTAGATACTTGCTGTCTTTTTCACCCTAAAGCTAATTGTGTCCCCTTCCAGGTCAGCATTTCTTTAACTAACCAATAGCACATTGGTTTTACCCATGGCATTGCCAGTGCTAGCCAGAGCCTCCCTTCTTGACATCCCATGCCTGTAGTCCTTTGCGTCTCATCATTTGTTCCCACTTTTCAAGGAATCTGCTGTTGTACCAGGCCTGTACTTCTCTACATTAATTGAATTAAGTTGGTTATAAATATGCCTTCTAAACAGAATACTACTAATCCATCCAAAAAAGCAGGTTGTATGTTACAAGAATAACTGGAAATAAAACAAAACAGACCTCTGCAAAGAACTGCTGCTATAGCTTAAGCACTTCAATCAAAATTTCTGTCAGGACAGGCCAAGATCAGACAAACCTGAAGCCTTGCAGACTCAGTTCCAGGTGTGTGGCCTGGGGCAAGCAGTGGCAATACCATATTGCTGGGCTACAGAGCTGCAACAGAATTGCAATGGCTACTCCTGAAAACAGTGTGGATTTCATGGCAATAATAGGGCAATGGAAGCAGGAATCTTGCCAGGACAGAATTTCTTGTAGCATCTTTCATTGTTAAAGTATTACAAGAAGATTATGAGTCATTCCAAGTGGTTGTTAGAGAATAATCAAGAAGAAAAGCGCTAGAACTTTTTTTTGTCAGCAAAGGCTGTGATAAAAAGGATGCAGTAAATATAAATTATTTTTCAACATGGGGAATTTGTTTAGTATAAACCTCAGTGTTTATAAAAGGACTTGGGAGGTAGCTGAGTTTTCTCCTCAAGAGGTCCCAGAATCACTCCAAGTACAAGAGCTTTTGTGGTACACAATTGCTTTTGTGTTGTCTATAAAGGTCCATGTAGGGTGTATTTGAAATAAGATAGGCTGTGCTGATAAATTGAAAAATTGGGAGGATCACAGAAAAAACTGCAGAAGATAAGGGAATTTGAAAAACTAGTTTTAAAATTTACTAAATTTGCCTGGCATTAAGGGAGAGAAGGCTAGGGGCAGTTGGGTCACTTTGTATTGTTTATGAATCTGGAAAACACATCTGTTTCTAATCTTTTCTATCTTGTACAAAAAGGCATTGTAGGATCTCATATGTAGCAGTGAAAGGTAAGGAAAAGTAACTGAAATACAAACAGAAGTTTATGGTTCAGTGGAGATAACAGCTTCACAACTCATCGTAGCTTATGAAGAGATGCAGAAGATGTGTATCACCTATTCTTTGGTCATTAGCAGGAATGTTTGTAGGAATGCCTTTGGACCATAATTTATGAAAACTCTTAGCAGATAATGCACTTGTGAATAAATTCCTTTCTCTGCAGATCCTCAGTGCAAACCTCCAACTGGTGCTCTATCACCTGAGAGGACAAGTATCTTTTGCCCTTTGCCCTATGTTGTTTCTGCAATACTGAGTTAGACACTGGGAGACATTGAAATACATTTAGAAAGCCACAATACCTGGTTTTGAAAAGACAGTGCTCTTGTTGTTTCATTTGATTTTGTTTAATGGATCAAGAATGATACATTGGATAAAAAATGCAAATAATTATCTGGTAACTTTTTGAAGAAGCCTAGTTCCTTGTTGTGTTTTGATATGTGGGTACACAAACTGCCTGAAGCTGGGTGCAAAATACATTATTAATCAAGTAACTGCTTCTAAGAAAATACTTTTGATGCAGAAGTGGTATGGCTATGAATCACCCCAGCAACATTTATTGAGGTGTGCTGTAGCACCAATGTATCAAGCTGTTAGCAGCCTTCACTGAGAACTCATTTTTTAATTACTAAGCACAGCTTCGCAGCATCTTAAAATATTCAGTCTGTGCTGCCTTGCAGTAGCCAAAAAATCATACTAAATGGAGAGAAAGATATAGAGTTTGCAAGATACAGAGACTAAGTTTTTCTTGGCCAACTGCCAATGTGTAAAGTAGACAAAATTTGAATTATTTAGCCAGAAATCCCAGGGGAGGAAAAAAAAAAACCAAAACAAAACCCAAAACAAACAAGAAGGATGTTTTTAATGATGAAATGTCAGAGGAGAAGGAAATATTGTAGTAATAAATATACTGAATTCACTACACAGAAAGAATATGCTGAGCTTTTACTACAGTGATCTATCCTGTGGTAATAATAATGCCAAAATCTATCTGGTGCCTGTGGTTAAATGTACTGCTTTTTAAGAGACTGCAAGGTTTATATTTTCCTTAGGACACTGGTGCTCAGGGCATCAATTTTTAATTGGTTTCAAAGCACCAAAGCCCAACATCTGGACCTTAATACTGTGCCAACTGTGAGAGGAGCCCACTAAGTCACAAGCACTGCTTTGTGCAGCACTTGGGATTTCCTAAGAGCTGTCCTGAGGATAACTCAATTTTCCAGTGCTGCTGAAGGAGTTGAATGCTTACAGACTCCATGTAAAACATATGGATATGCGTGTGCACTGTTACAGTAAATGATCAGGAAATACTTTTTGCAATAATGGGTGAAATAATTAGTTGCCAGTAAGAACTGGGCTTGTCATTTTTCATCTTTTAAACTACATTAACTATACCCGAGTTGCAATACTTGGGCACCAGATAACTCTTAGCTATTGGGTGTAAGATAAGCTAGGAGTATGTTTTTAAATGTGCAATTGTTTGTTCATCCTGCTAGCAGAATCAGGAATCCATTTCTTCTGTGCTTCCAAGCTTCTGAATCCAATCACTGTGAGTGATTCAGTAGGATCATTCACAATGGAAAGCTGTAATCTCAGCATTCAGATGGATGTGATCAGGGTCTAGAATCATGTCAGGCATAGGAGCTTAACTGTTGGGAGAGCCATGATTGCACATTCCAGGGAAGCATTTGGTGTTCTCTGGGGGTGTCTATATCAGCTCACAGAGGGAGGGGAGCTGCAAGCTGCCTCTGGCTGCATATGATCCTTGTTAATGCAATCCAAACTAAGCCAAACCCCAGCTGAGTCCAAGCTAAAAACCCCTGGTAGGAGAGGAGTGTGTGCTCAGTTGGACAAGACATTGTGTTAGAGAGTTTGACTTTTGGCTTGCTCCTACCCTATGCAAAGCCCTCCCATGCCTGGTCAGAACTTGGGTCCTGTGTGGCACAGCCCACACATTTACACCCTGATACATCTCCTTTTTTTGGGAAGTGAAATCCTAGTGCCAAACAATTTGCAAGAAGAGGCTAAAATAGCTGCTTTGTTCAGCTTAACAAATCGAAAGCTGAAATTGGATCTTTTTTCCAATTATGAAGAAATGAAAGGTGTGGTATTTGCTGAGTCCCCAGGGTGAAGGAGGACTCGATGAATCTGACTCCATGTTCCTAGAAGGCTAATTTATTATTTTATGTATTATGTTACATTAAAGAATGCTATACTAAAACTATACTAAAGAATAGAGAAAGGATACTTACAGAAAGCTTATCAAGATGCTAATTAATAACTTGTGACCTCCTCCAGAGTCCCTACACAGCCAGATGGTGATTGGTCATTAAGTCAAAACAAGTCACGTGTTGGATAAACAATCTCCAAACCACATTCCAAAGCAGCAAAACACAGGAGAAGCCACCAGATAATTATGGTTTCCATTTTTCTCTGAGGCTTCTCAGCTTCCCAGGAGAAGAAATCATGGCAAAGGGATTTTTCAGAAAATATGACAGTGACGTGAAAGGAGTATGCAAAAGGGAAGGAAAGAATCGCATAAGCCAAGGGAAAGGACTGGCACGGGAGGAAAATGAGCATGAACTGCTTGACAAAGAAATTTTATCTGGAAATTAGAGATTTCAGCTGCTAGCTCCCAGTGAGACTTTGAAATTGTCTTTCAATGGGAGCAGTCAGGGCAAAAAGTACATAAATTTCTTAGGAAAACCACAGACTTGTATGATGGGATGACTACATGAAATTGCAGCATATTTGAGCTGATAACCCTGACAGTCCTCTGTGATTCAGCACTTCTGTGTTCCTGTGCACAAGTGCCTCAGTGGTACATGAGCCCTAAGTCCCGAAATATTGCAACAGCTCATATGGCCTGCAAACAGAAAGAGTGGGCATGTGTGTTTATGCATGTATATATCTCTTACACATACATATGTATTTACAAATACAGGAATGTTTATATATATATATATATGTATATGTATACACATATATTTTAATACATAAAAAGAGTACCTTTATCTGAAGGAGAAACTGATGTCATAAGAGAAATATTTCCAGTTTACAGTAATGATCAAGCTCGAGGAGAGACCTGCCTGTTAGGAAGAATGTTCTTGCTCTTAAAGATAAGTAAAAAAACAGTGGAAGAAAATGGATGTTGTCTAAACAAATATAATTTTGTTGGATATTTATTCATCCCAGAACTTCCTGAAGTGATTGTCCTTTCTGTTGTAATTCCTTGTGTATTCCTTGTTATTACAGTTCTGGTGCCTTTAGGCTATAAACCTACTTGTCCCTCAGAAAGGAGTTGCCCTTAATGTACATTTAATAATCTAATTCATCTTTAATTAATGTGGCACTGCCTTGTGAGAAACAGGAATAGTCTTCCTCCTTCTGACTGCCCTTGATTCTGCAATAGAGCTCGGGGGATGAAGGTGAATAAGGTTGTGTGTCTGTGCATTGATTTGTAGGCTCGAGGACTGTCACCAGAGTGTCTCCAGGGGAGCCCCAGGGATTCAGAGCTCTCAACAGCACAATGGCTGAGACCAAGCTGAAACGCATGAGGGAGTAAGTAGCAAATTTATGTGTAACCAATGTGCAGGCAAGGAACATGGATTTGGAAAACTGCAAAGCACAGCAAATAAAACCCCAAAATCCCAACAACAAAAAGAAATGGATGGTAAGATGTTCAAAGACTTGCCTGCTTGCCTCCAGAGAGGATGAAAACTGACCCTCTCTTATTGTTTTCTTGTAAGCTGCACAATCACTGACATTCTTCCAGGATCCAGTTGCCTTCCCTGCTGTCGGTGTCATTCTGAATTTCACTTTCTTTATTAGCACAGCCCATGCCCACAAATCACCTGCAAATGTACACATTACCACCATGTTTGCTCCCTCACCTGCAATTCAATTTTGCCTGGAATGAAAAGTAAGTGGGTTTGTTCCCCATGGTGATATGATGTTCTAAACCAAACAAAATTGCTGCTCTTGGCTGGTATTTTCAAATGAGACAGCGGGCAGTACATGGACAGTTCCCTTTGAAACTCATTGTCTACTCATTTGCAGCATTGCTGAAATCCCAGCTTTATTTATAAAGGCTTCAGTGTCTTAATAAAATGATCTGTGCTTCCTTTCTAGAATGTACTGGTTAATGTATCTTGAGCCTTTATCTTGACTCAGTAATTTCTGGCCTTCCAAGACTGATTGCATCCTCTTTTAGGTGCTGATCTGATAATCATAGTGATGTGTATTATTTCTGAGATCAAACATTCTTTACAATGTTGCAAGATTCAACTGCTCTCAGAATATAAACTCTTTAAACAAGGGCAGTTTTTTCTCCTGCGTAGGTGGACAGTGGCATTAATGTGGTGGATGTTATTGGAATACAAATAAGTTCAAACAGTAGATGCTAAGAGTTATTCAAGTGAGCTCTCTGAAGAAAATGAGTACAATTCCAGCAGAATTGGTAGCAATCACTGTTTAAAACAAATCACCATGTACTACAGGAAAATACCAATCACATTTACTCCTGATAGAAATTGTTTGGTTTTATAGTATTTCAAGATTCAGCAGCTCCTGAGGTTTCACTTCATGGCTTAGCACTTACTGTGCAATCAGTCCAAGATCTCACAGCCTTCCATTTGTACTGCTTTCCATTCTTTTTTCATGGAAACTACTTGGAAATTACTGCATAATGTTGTCCCAGATACTTACAAGGTGAGATTTTTAGTCAAAATGCCTACTGAACTTAGAGATTTCACCTGGTGTTCTCATGGTTTCTGGATAGAAATTAAAATATTTGGACCTTGTGGTCATGGGTTTTAGGGCTGAAGTATGTTTAGATCACTTATTTCAAATTCTCTTTTTCTAGTGATGTTTCATGGTTTTCATGGTTTGTTGTGACTCACATTATTGTCCTTTCTCCAAAACATAGCATGACTTTTTCATTCTCTGAATATGTAAAGGTCAGAAAGGACTTAACTCCTTGTTAAGTGTTAAGGAACAAGTCAATGAGCAATGAGTACCCAGCATGTGCATAGTCAAGGAGATCCCTGCAAACTCTGACCCATGGCCAATCTACACACAGGGCACAGTGGGGTTTTCAGTGGTGAGAAGGAAGCACATCTGGCTATGAATCAGTACATAAAGCCACAGCTTCTCTGCTCATCCTTCAGCAAACTTCATATGATGTGGTTTTTGAATGTCATTCACGTAACAGTGCCTCATAAGCGAGGCTAATATAATTTAGACTTGTGCTATTCAATTTTATTTGGATAGGTGCAGACTTTTGGGGGAGAGGTCTTCCAGATGCCAGCTTCTGATGAAGGAAACAATGTGGGGGACTTGTCTTACTGAGACAAACTGAGTAGCTGGAGTTCCTAAAAGGAAAGAGGAGAGCAGAGCAGGGGCAATAATGTGGAGGTGCAATGAAATCTGTTTGGGTGTCAAGTCACTCTAGAAAGAGGACTATGGAGGTTTGGGATTTGTACCATTTCCAGATGTTAGGAACAATAGGTTCTGATGAGGGAGACTCCTATGTCATAAGCTGCTCATAAAGAAACTTTGTGCCCATGCATTACAGATGATGTTACTGGCAGAAAGTGTCGGTAGCTCTGATAAAATGGTTAATTAATCTAAAATAACACAGGGTTTAACAGTGAAAGCACCTTTTAGCCATTTCCAATTGACACATGAATAATGCTGGCTAGCAAACTGCTGTAGCAAGGCAGTCACTTGACAAGATGTTATGTGCTTATTGCTTGAGTTACTGCAGCATGACTCACTAAATGCCTTCTTTGACTTGCTGTGTATCAAAGCATCAATTTAGGAGATTCCCACTGTATTCTTATGGTGGACTTGGCAAAGATACTCATGTGAGAGCAAAAGTGTGCTAAAAATCTTTATGGGAATATAGAAGGAAGCCACTGATATTCTTGAAGGTGGTAGGTAGGAGTGCTTGGTCTCCTCTTATTTTAAGTGAAAAGAAATGGCTTTTTTATCACTACAACCCCTAAATATTTCCCCTGACATTTTCTTTCCAATTACCATTGCACTGTCTGTCCCAGTTGATAGCATCCAGCATCAATGTGAATTGCTGTCCTCTCAGTAAAAGTCATGATAAAATCACCAACTCCAGTGACAACAATTTCTACTTTGTTATATTTAGTATCAGAATTCATTATGAAATTTATAAGAGCAGAGGTTTAACTTTACCTTTCAAGCAGAATTAATTGTCTCCACAAAAATTTCCACTTCAGTGCTAAGCATTTGGATATTGGGATCTGCAGTGCTGATAAGAAATCTTCATTTTTTGAACTAGCTCAAGGTTATTGTTATGCTCCTTCCCAGCCTGGTGTGCCAGCAGTGACAATTCAACCAAATATAGAAATTGGACTGTGAGACTCTTATTCCTTGTATTGGGTTTTGAAACTGAGGAATCATGTTGGATGCAGGAAATGAGAGGAGCCATTTCCTGGTATCTCCTGTCCTGGCCACCATCAAAATCTCGTGGTGGTTCCCATCTTTGGTGGCATGAGGTAACTTGGTGCATGCCGAGTCTGGGAAGCGTTACTGCCACATGCTATCCAGAGCCAAGTTATCTTCATGGAGAGGTCCTTAAAGACAAACTGCTCACACTGTTCCACTGATGTTCCCCTATAGAGACTTTCCAACTTTCCATCTCAGAAGAGAACCACACTGTTCTTCAGAAGCAATTCCTCAAGCCAAAGCATTTTTCCCCTGTCAGATTAAATTGCAGTAGCACCTATTAATTTTTTTGCCCCCCGAGGTCCATACAAAAAACTTGGTTCAGATTGTTTTGTGCTCCTTTGTGGAGATATCCATGAATATCTACAATGAGTCATTTTAATAGCCATGAACTTTAATATGCACTTTAGAATTCAATAAAATGTATGGCAGTAGAAGGAAAAGGCTTTTATGGCCCAAATTTTAAGTAAATTAAAATCCTTTAGCCCAGCAGTGTGCACCTCTTAGTCAGTCCCCAAAGTGTTATGCACAGCAGCATACCACGATCAGGAAAAAGACTTCATCATCCCCTGCTGAGTGTAAGTAAAGCAGTCTTTCAGAAGTCATGAAGAAAAAGCATTGGGTGACATTTTTATTCTGCTCCTGTGAATGCTCATAACACTATTGGTTTAGACCCATGAGCAGTATGTATATATGCTTCTTGTGCTTGTGATGCTGCCATCAAATGCATTGTTTATCTTAAAAATTCAGAAATAAAGGTCATTTTGAGGTCATTCGGTAGACACTGGATGTTCTTTGAGATAAGTAGCCCTAAAATGCTAGAAGTATAGAAGGCTTTTTGTACATTTATTTGTGCAATTTAAAAAAAAATATTACAGTAAAGAAAGTGTTTAGTTGATGTAGTATTTCAGTTTATGCAGAGTGGACCTTTCTGAGCCAACTGAAACTAATTTTGTTATTGATGTCATTGAGGGCAGCTTTAGTGAAGACAAAAGCAACAAATACAGAAAAGTGAATTGTTTTTTAAGATTTTGATTTAAGAACTTGTCAGTGACCTTTTGATTGCCATTGACTGCCATGTTGACGGTGTCATGATGTAAATGAGCTTGAGGAATAAGACGTCTTCTCACGGACAAAAGATATTTGGTGAGGAAATTTATTGGCACTGTCTGAGCTACCACTTTCTTGCAGGTGAATAGAGCACTCTTGAAGGTATTGATCCTGAAATGTTTTTGAGCATTGAATTTCCTCTTACATACACCAGTGTTCTGTCCAACTCCATTTTCAGGTAATAATTTCTGTCTGGTGATCCCAAGGCATCTTACAGCATGACTATAGTTTTCTGCATCTCATGGGCTAAGCCAAAATTTTATTTACATATCCATTTTCCTCGTCACAGTTTCTCACACCTCATTTTTAAAGGCCAGGCTGAAATGAGTCTACAGGGTTCATTATGGAAAAAAATTAAACATCTTAGTCCATGAGTTTCTCTTTCTTTTACTGAAAATCTATTTTAAGATAATTGCACCATTTATACTTTTCAATACTTTCCAGACCCAAATTTGAAGAAAGTATTTTGGATTTGTAGTTTGCTTTACAAGCAAGTGAGAGTACAGTGAACTCAGCAGGAACACTGAAAGATTGAACCCTGCCTGTGTGTGGCCAAGCTGGGGTATTGGTTCTTGGCTTCTGTCAGAGAGAAGTGAGTGGGTGCTCCTGGCTCAGGAGTCATTGCTGTCCCAAGGCAATGACTGAAAGAGAAAGTGGGAATGGCCAAATCCTTTGCTTCTGACTAAGAAGAAATGAAGGTGAGTGAGACAATGTCTGCTGCTCAGAAGTGTGGGAGAAACAGCAGGAACAGCAGGAACCCCTCAAGGCTGAAGTTAGAGCTGATGGTCTAATTCCTCAGGCATTTTCCATGGTCTTCCTTCAGCTTCTTCCCTCTGTCCTCCCTTCCTTGACAAAAATGGGCTGCTTCTCCTGTTGGCACTTTGTCTCCTACACTGCTCCTCTCCGTCCTGCATGGGATGGGAAGAGCATGCCACCTGCCAACACCATGGTTTCAGCAGTTCTCAGCAGCT